TCTCTCTCTCTCTCAAACACAGGCACACACCCACACACACCACACACACACACACACACACACACACACACACACACACACACACACACACACACACACACACACACACACACACACGCACACATGCACGCACGCAAGCACGCACGCACACACAACTTGTTGGAGATGAAACCAGCTGGTACATGTACACGGAGCAGAGTGTGTTTTGTACCATAGTGTGTATTTGTGTCTGTGTATTTTTCCTCAGGTGTTTCTTGAGGTAAGGACCGAGGCAGTGCACCAGATGCAGGATGGGAGACAGTAACCATGGTTACTGCTGTGGTGATGATGATGACAATGATGCAGGTACAGACACACGGCGGTCGGGGTATTTTTATGCACACACACATTACAGATCAGTAGGAAACAGACTGCGAGCGGAAAGACAACCTGTCATGAACTAACCAATTACATTTATCGCAGGTGTTGAAACATCTGATTAAGTTGAAAGACTACAGTCACTGTTTGAGTCGCAAAAATATAGCACTGTTTCTACTGTCTAACTCTTGAAATGTGCCGGAGTCAAGGCGACCTTGAGAGCATTGAAAGGCGCCTTTATAAATAAAATGTATTATTATTATTAATAAAGTGTAAATTCAATTCTTGACATAGCTTCAGATTAAAATCTCTCAGTGGGCGTTCGGACTGATAGCTTCACCTTCTCTGGGACATTTTGACCTTTCAGCCTATCATTCATCAGGTGAACTTCCTGGGCAAACCGCACACAATTCAGCCTGAAAATGGGATGATAAACAGCAACAAAATACAACATCCACCCTGTTCCAACCTCCAAGAAAAAACACCTTTTTATTGCCAAGCTTTGCTCAAAGAAACCCGTGCCTGATGGCATAAAAACAAGATGCTATCAAGGCCAAACAGCAATCTCCAGAAGTAAAAAGCTAACGTTATAAAGGAACTACAGCACGGTCACATGACTTCAGGCAACCACCGCTAAGCTAAAGGTGGCTAATGTTGGGCTATAAAGGAACTACAGCACGGTCACATGACTTCACGTCACCACCGCTAAGCTAAAGGAGGCTAATGTTGGGCTATAAAGGAACTACAGCACGGTCACATGACTTCACGTCACCACCGCTAAGCTAAAGGAGGCTAATGTTGGGCTATAAAGGAACTACTGCACGGTCACATGACTTCACGTCAACACCGCTAAGCTAAAGGCGGCTAATGTTAGCGTGATGACGTTTAGTCGTCTCATTTAGACACTTGTTAGCAACCACCATTTTTAAATTCACCAGTGGGGTATTTACTGACGTATTTTATGTGGTAGAACAAAACGTTAAAATCTCTTCAGCTTATGTTAACCACAGACCTTTTTTCAGGCTAAGAACCAAAAATCAATTCAAAGACCATTGACTTCCAGACCAGGAAGGGATCAAATGCTGATTTAATTTTAAGAGTTTTGGACTCATTCCTGCAGCTTTCTATATTAAACTATAACATCTTAAATCAGCCAGCTGCTCCTCTCGCTCCTCGCTCACCTTGGAGACGTTTTTTTTACGGCGATGTCAAACAGTTTTTGGCTCGACTCGGTGCTTTCCACTCCAGGAGTCGTTTTCCTCTAAGTGATGAATCTGGCGCTTTACCTTGGACTTCTTCCCAGAAACGAAACCGGCAGCAGACAACAGATGTTTGGATCACTATCATGTAACTGCAATCAGTGGGAGCAAAAACATATACCTGTCGGAAGTTGAGGTTCATTAACAGCGAAAAACTGGATGTTTTCAGTGAGCATTTCTGGAAATCATTTATCGATCTACAAAAAGTAATGAATGGTGTTACGACTGGCTCGAAAGCAGCGACACAATGAGGAGCAAACCTCAGAGTGGATAAACCAAAGACTTTATTATATTTCAACAAAGAAAACGCAGAAACTTTGGCCATGTTTCACGGTGTGGAGGGGGACGAGAAAGAGACACACGCTGGCATGGAACACTTTATTCAATTGTTTAAATTACAGGATGTTTGGACGTTTATCAAACAAAAACAACTTGATTTTAAAAAATGTGAATATTTCAAATAGTTGAAAATTGATATTTTGAATTAAAATGGTCAAATAAACAAAACAAAAGTTGGTTTTGGAAATGTGAATATTTAATTTCATAATATATTGAAGACTTAAGACTGTTAATCTTACCTTTTTGTTTTACTAATTCATATTAAGAAAATCGTTTTTTAATTGCAGTAACGTCGATTGGATTTGAAAATAAAAATAGGTAACATTGAAGGTTGCTTCTCAATAGGGAGTGGAAGATAATAAAAAATAGAAGGAACAATATTAAATTAACATAGCCAGCATTTTATTAAACATTAAACAACACTTTCAAACATTAAACAACACTTTCAAACATTAAACAACACTTTCAGCAAAATGGTCTTTCTCTTGATGAGTCCATCGTGACCCCATCTCCTCCCTGTCACCTGCTGATATCACAGAACGTGTGTGTGTGTGTGTGTGTGTGTGTGTGTGTGTGTGTGTGTGTGTGTGTGTGTGTGTCTTGTTGTGATTTCACAATGTTATGGCCTGATTCTGATGATAACAGCTTTCTGTCAGCACTCTGCAGGAAAAACCTCTTATAAGCATTTCTGCCCCTTTAGTACCAGCTGACTCTCACACACACATACACACACACACACACACACACACACACACACACACACACACACACACACACGCACGCACGCACACACACACACGCACACTTTATATACCTATAGGTAGGTAGACCTTCTGTAAACTATAACACTTTGTTTTTGAAGTAAAACACAATACTTTCAAGTACATTCAGAACATTGGAAACCCTGACTATTAGAAAACATCTCTGTTGCTTCAGAGGCCATAACAGACTTTGTT